TTATACTTTTCCAAATTTCCATACCGCTTTAGAGAAAATTAGAAAAAACACGAAAATATATCTACGATGTTCTCTAAGTCTTAAAAATCAAAACGCGTTTCTATGGAAATATAATTTCGTTTTCATTCTTCTAATGTTATATATTTTGCAGTTTTGAAATTTTTAAAGAAGCACAAAATTTATTTAGTTCAATGCTACGGAAAGGGTGATAATAGTTATCGAAAAATGTGATACTTTAACAACATCAAAAATATGACATTAATCAAAATAAATTATATATACCGTGCTGGCAACTGTCACTTTTGGGTCGGCATTTACATGTGTGGAAGTAAATCGCATAGGGATCTTATTAAGTCGGAGTGAGAGAAATGCGACCGACCGACGCGACGCGCGACGGTGTGCTGTTGCGACGTTGCCGATACGGCTTTCCGTATCAAGTAAAGTAAAATCACGATCGCAAACCGCTTATTTTTAAAAGACTTTTTTTAGGAGATAACTTGTTTTGTTTGAATATGATTGTGCAGTGGACTGTTGATTTTTGTGTGTATGTTGTGGATTGAAAGAAGTTGTAACTTCTATGAAACTTTATTTGCTATGTGTGATTTACAAGAATGTGTGTACAATTCTTTTCTTGAACATGGCTGCTATGTCATTCTCTACGTCACCAATATGGCGCTATCTTGGAAACTACTTGAGCTAAAGAGTCAGTAATGGGGAAATAATTGCAATTTTGTGGAGGACAAATATATGCGCCTTTCGGATTTTTTTGCAAAAAGTTTATGGCTTACTGGATATGTAAAAAAACAAATTTAAGCTATTTTAAAAAATGCTCCTATTCCATTATAATCTATTTTAGACAAAAAAAGTTTTCAGATGTAGATAATCATATCCTTAACGAGTTTGTGTTCTCCGTTTTTTTCTAAAGGCTGTCATTTTGACATATGACACAAATATATGTTTTTTTTAATTGGAAACCATAGTTGGCTATGACTAATTTTTTTTAGAGATTTTCAGCGATATAGGCTATATTTTTTTCTGTGTTGTTTAAAAATTACTGAAAAGTTACTGAGTTATCCAATTCTTATCTTTTGACTAATGTCACTTATAGTTGGCATGGTATTGAATGCATCAGTGAAAGTCATAATGCAACCAAAATGTATTGATGCGCGAGTCTCCCTAATTACAGTATACAGGGTCCGGCAATGAGTGCGTCGGGCATCTGTAGCTCTAGAATAAACAACTTGAGAATTTGGTTAAGTGCAAACCTAAAGTATATACCAGGATGTATTTCATGAAAATATTTTAACCTCTATAGGGTGGCTCAAAAAAAGTGTGTGAGTGCACCTGGATGTTTTTTTTAAATGGAACACCCTGTATATTATTGCATTTTGACTTCCTTTCCGATCACTTTAGATAACCCTAAGCTATGAATAAATACATGTTAATAGTTTCAGAGATGTTAAAAATAAATCAAAATATATTTTTTTTCAGCCCTTCTTAAAAAATTATTAAAAATACAGGAACTGTTCTGAAATCAAAACTATATATTAGGTAATTACCTCGGTAATTACTTTAGATGGTCTGTACTTACTTTGCTATAAGTATGAAAATAATAAATTATACAGGATGTTCAAAATTGTGCGCCAAACTTTCTAAAATATAAATTCATTTTTCTTCGTTTTTTAAATAGAACACCCTGTATATTATTTTTTCAATAGACGGAGAATTAAAAATTTTGAAATACTCTAAATAGAGAAAATGTTCATTTTTAAACTCTCGATCTAATAAAAAAATTATATACAGGGTGTTCCATTTAAAAACAAAGAAAAAATATTTAATATTTTAGAAAGTTTGGCGTAGAATATTGAACATCCTGTATGATTTACGATTACCATATAAAGACCATCTAAAGTAAATACCTAATATCGTTTTGATTTCAGAATTTTAATAATTTTTTAAGAAGGGTTGAAAAATATATATTTTTGATTTATTTTTTAATATCTCTGAAACTATCGAAATATATTTATTCATATTGTTGCGGAGCCGGTGTGGCCTCGACCAACCTCACAATATGGCCCGCCCTCGGATGACCTTAACATCGCATAGACACCGCAATGATTCATTCGTTCTAGAAGAATCGAGTCCCACTGGAATGGACTAGTACATACGAGAACATTCGAAAACCTTGTCTACGCACCTAACGATCTATGGACAATTCTAGAGTTCTTTACCTGTCGGTATAAAAGCCGGCGGCGGTGGCCTACAGGGGGCAGTTATAAATATACAGTTGACGCGCTAAAATTCAAAATAAATTCTTAGTTATAAATCGTTTGTAAATAGTTCTATAAGTCTTTTATCGTTATTGTTTTTGTTAATTAGTGTTAAATAAATAGTGTTTAAATAAATTGTGACTTTCTATCCACACGGAACCGACGAAAAACGTAACAATTGGTGTCAAGTGTGGCGTGTGTGATAAACTAGAAAAATAAAAAGACTAACGATGGCTCCGAAAAAATTATTGAAAGACCTGAAAGTGTCGGAATTAAAATGCATACTAGAAGAGAGGGAATGCGAGACAGATGGAAAGAAAAGCATTTTGCAAGCCAGACTGAGAGACGTTTTGATTGAGGAAGGTGAGGATCCTGACACATTTTGCTTTGAGTTGGAAGGTGACCTTGACTCGTGCCTACAAAAATTAGAAGACAGTTTGAATGACAAAATTACAGAAAATTCCCGAGAATTGCAAGACAATTTAAACGGCAATTTGAATAATTTAGAAGATAAAATCAGTGATAAAATGATGAAAAATTCCCAGGATTTAATTAATATTTTAGAAGATAAGATCATAGAGAAAATTCTAAAGATATACAGGCCAGCTTTAATAATAAAATACAGGAATTAGAAGAAAAGATAATAGATACACAAGATAAAATAACAGAGATTGAGGAAGATGTAAATAGAAAAATCGAAATTTTAAAAGAAGAAATAGCGAAGTCAAATTCACCAAAATGTCAAGAAACATCGGAGGGAGCGAGACTAGTCGAAAATAGGTATACCTCAAAATCAGTTATGAAACCTCCGCAGTTTGACGGAAAAACCGCTTGGGCCAACTACTTTTGCCAATTTGAAGCCGCTGCGAGAGCAAACGGCTGGACAATCGCTGAAAAAGCTACCGCTTTGGCTATCGCACTGCGGGGAGATGCGACTGATATCCTGCAGACACTGTCACCATCGGAACAGGGAGATTATCAGCAATTGGTACGACATTTAGAAATGAGGTACGGCCAAGCTCATTTGGAACATGCCTATCATTCCCAGCTAAAAATCGCATTCAAAAGTCAAATGAGTCTCTGCAGGAGTTTGAAGCCGACGTAGCCCGCCTCGTTCGCCTTGCGTACCCTGCTATGCCCGAAAATGTTATGGAACACTTAACAGTACAGGCTTTTATTGATGGTTTACGTGACAACGAGACAAGGCAAACACTTCTTTAGCTCATCCAACGCATTTGGGAGATTGAGGCCGCGAAAAATGCTCTAGGTCTCTAGGATTTGTACGGGCTGTTGAGGAGAGTTCCGACGATTCCAAAGTAGAAAGAATTGTGCGGAAAGTACTGGATCAGTATATGAGCAAGAAGGGGGGACCGATTCGCTGTTGGAATTGCGGACAGATGGGAAATCGTTGCAAAGAAGAGAAAGAAGTGAAAGTCTTAAGGACGACTGGAAAATGATTAAATGGGAAGAATTGATGGGAATGGAAAGAATGACCAATTATTGTATTTTGTATTAATTTATAATACCCCTATTCTACTAAATATCTAGCTACATTGTACTTACAGTTAAATAGCTACATAGTACTAGTTATATACATATTTACAGTTTTATGCTGGCTATTATTTCTTTTCATCGTGCTATCAATTGATTCGCTCCGACTTGAGTACTATACCTCGAGATGGCTCCAGGAATTATTTACCTTTACAGGCCTAGAATATGAAGATTCACAGTAGAATTTTTGGTTTTACTGCCTATTCGAAACAAACCTACCCCCCTACATCAAGGGACATACAATTATGCCTTGTTCTCGGCCATGATATTCCTTCCATTCTATATCCAACATCCAACTTAGCACACCTTCTGGTTCACAACAGGGCCTAGACTGGTCGGATGACATTTTAACAGAATAGCCCTTGATATCTCTTTCACACTTTTATTTAATAATTAAATAGGAGGGCTGGATGGTATAATTTCTAGAAAGAATAGCCTGTGAAATAAAAACTTCTGCATGGACATTACCTTTCTTACCTTTGATAAATGAGGTCTAAATTATAAGAAAATGCATTTTCTACGAAAACTTGAAGAGATGGGTAAAAAATGGTATAATACAATTTGATAGACAATTACATTGTGCATCTGATTCACGTAAAATATATAGGGTGTTCCATTTAAATTAAACAAGTTATTGCCGTTTAAAGCTAGTAATTATTTAATATATATTTTTGGACACTCTGTATAAGGTAGTAAAATTTTTATTATTGCAACACAATATCTGATCAATAAATAATCTTCAGTAAATATTTAGTATTAAAAAATTTGATACCCTGGGAGAAATAAAGCCTTAAAAATTTTACTGCCATTTCATAAAATTGAAAATATTTCAAAAACGGTAAGGTTTAAGTGTGATAAACCTTAACCAAATTTACCTTTATTTCGATCGTAGAATCCAAATATAGAATAATATACATATATAGGGTGTTCCATTTAAAAAAATAAAACTATAATATTTTTTACTTATTTGGGACACTCTGTATCTTGTAAAAATATTTTTAAATTGTAGCTCTAATAGACCTTCAACGAACCCAAAACTTAGAATTTGTAAAAATGTAATCGTTTAGCTACAATACTCCGTGTCGTATGTGGTGAACCAACACTGTATATAACGACGATATTTTAACGACTGTATTTTTAATTATATTTCTATTTTTATATATAAAATGAAACAAAACAAAAGTATCATTTATGTATTTTTTATTTTAAAATTGTAATTACTTCTCTATAAACATGTTAAATGTCGAGATATAGTGATAAATACAGTGCATAAATATTTTTGTTGACTAGAAAATATATCTAAAAATAATCTAAGCTCAAAGTTAGTAATGTAACACAAAATTCAAGTACAGTACTCATAATGTTTATGGAGTTTGTCCGCAGTACTTGGCTACTTCTTCGGAAACACAATCAAATACATCATAAGCTACATCGCAGACCTTGGATTCTAAAACAGAATTAAATCAAGCATAAAACCTAACTTTATTTGAGGTAACACGCGTACAGGGTGTTCCATTTTCGTGTGTTTTATGGGGTTTATCGTTGATGCGTATTGATACAAAGATGCACACAGATTTGTCCTAGCGCCTTGGTTTCTAAAATACACGGCGTATTTGAAAATGTTTCATTTTTTGACCCCTTTTAATCTTGGTTATCTTATTAAAACTTATCGAAAAGGTGGAAATTGAGCCCGTAGAGTGTTTTACGTAAAAACCAGTGGCGTAACTAGTTTTTCGCTGTGAGCTATAATTTTCTAGATAGGACACCCTGTATATTATTATTTTATTTGCGTTGTCATGAGCTTTCTAAAAATATAATATTGTTACTGGTTCCGCTGTTTTCTGGTTGTTTGGCTGTGTTTTTTTGCAATCTTCAGTTTACAATCGTGATTTTGTATTTTTGAATTTTTTTGAACTTTGTTTTGTGTTTGATTTTTAAGATCTTTATTAAAGGTAAGGTTTCAGTTAAAGGTCTTTGATTTATCTAACAATTTTATTTAATAATCCGAGAAAGTGAGGTGAGGTAACCTAACCAAGTCCAAATATTCGTGAATTTTATTTTTTAACAATGTAATATTTACAACGCCATATATTTTTACAAAAAAAAAATTGATCAACTCCATATTTTTATACATAAACTCCACAATGTGATATTACACAATTGTTCAAGTCCATATGTAAAAAATACACGTAAATAAAACATTGTTTCTACTGGACGTCACTTTCTCTTGTATTCCAACGATATTTGTTTTGTGTTCTTAAATCTGGTACTATAATAAATATTATACTTTTTAATCTGTTGTTTTATTTCTTTGTAAAATGTTTCATGGTATAATTTTCTGTAAATTAAAATAAATTATTTATTGTAGGTTTTTATGCACATAAAATGATATAAGCAAACCATTTAACACTTTACAATAGTTTAACCTGGTTTAACCTTTATATATAAATCCTTGTTTTTTACCATTTGACTTGTTTGCTAACTTGGGACCAATCAGATGACTACACATTATTTTGTAGAAATCTGATTGGCTCTAACTGGCGAACAAGTCAATACGTCTTGCTTATAAATAAATTGCATCTATTTAAATTTGCCGCCACCTTTGTTACTTTCCTGGGTGGCTAGATGGCGCCACTTCAATATACAGATTACAGATTTCTTTACAAATTTGAAACCGTTTTGAAACTAAAAAATGCATGGGAGTTAGCGTTCTTCTTTAGTGCGTTCTGTGGTCGTTCGTTTCCCAAATGATGTCGCCACGCTTCTTGCCAATACAAACATCTTTAAGGTTGTTTGCTCCTCCGAAAGATGTCGCCATGCACCTTGCCATTTAATATAAATACAAAGTTTGCCTTTTAATATAAATACATAGTAGTTTAAAAGGTATTACCATTTTCTTTTATTTAATTTGTGCAGCTTTTAGATAACAACGCGTATATTCATAAATGATTCGTTTCGAAGATGCAGGGTGTAGATGTTTCAGTTTTATTTCGAATTTGTCCTAATAATTTCTCAACTACATTCTGTATTTGGATGAAAACTAGTATCTAGGGGTTTTTAACATGGGAAATTTGATTTCGATGTCAATATGACTCCTACTTGTAGGGGGCGCCACATACATCTTTTTTACCTGTTTTGAAGAGTAGTAACATTTCGTCCGTCCCTGTCACTACTGAGTGAAAAAATATACATTTCCGTAATTTTTTACGTAAAAACTATCTCTTCGTAGAAATCGCTACGAGCAACTGCTTTCAAGATATTTGGAATGGAAATAGTCAATACATATCATTGAGAAAAAGGAAACATGTTGATTAGATTATATTTGTTATTTTATTATTTGTTATTAGACTGATATGATAAATTTGTGAACTTTTGATTTTTTTAATCTAATCATGAATTCTTCTAGAAAAAATACGATAAAACAGTTATTGTTAAATCTTTGGTACAAAAACATTTCCAATTTGATATTACAGACTAATATGAAAAATTATGACGTATTGACTATTTCGATTCCAAATATCTTGAGAACCATTAATTGTAGCGATTTTTGTCAAGAGATATTTTTTACGTAGAAAATGAAAAAAATGTAATTTTTTTATTCGGTAGTGTATTAAAGGTGCGGATGAAAAGTTATAACTCTTCAAAACAGCTAAGTAATATGCAGGTGGCGTCTCCTACAAGTCATACTGACATCAAAATCGAATTTCTCATGTCAAAAAAACCCCAGACACCAATTTACATCCAAATATCGGCATTAGCTCAGAAATTATTTGCAAAAAATCGAAATAAAAATGAAACTTCTAAACCCTGTATCTCCGAAATTAAGCATTTTTAGACATACATCTATACGAACATTTTTATTTATTTTTGTCTCTAGAATATGCTTCCGAAGTTTCCAGAATACAGTTCAGACCACCCTGTATACAGGGTGTTTCAAAACAAATGCGAAAAATTTTAGGGGGTGATTCCTTGTTCAAAATAAAGGGTGGTTTGCTTTATAAACGTTGGGTCAAAAGTCAACCATTAGGGAGATATCGCGGTACAAAGATGGCGGAAAAATAATGTTTTTATTTTTTATCTTGAAAACGAAAAGAGATAGACTAATGAACCCCTATCATTCTTGTTAACGAAATTTAAAGAAAAATCTTATCAAACACATGCAAATGCTTTAATTTGGATAGTTTAGTTTGTTTAGAAACTTTTTTACCTCTTGTGTTTTTTTGATAAAACTCACCGATTGGAAATTAAAAAATAAAATGTAAAGCATTACATGTCAGGACAAAAAACATTTAGCACGTGATGTGAAATCCGCATCTTTGTTCTCTACTCATAATCGAGAAACCCTGCAAAACACGAAAACGGGACACCCTGTACAGGGTGGGTCAAATTCGACGCTTTTAAATGGAAACACCCTTTTCTATAGCAGATAGACGAAAACTAATATCGGTGTCTGGAGCTCAATTTTCATCAAAACCATGATGGTGAAAACCGCACATCAATATCTGTTACCGTTTAGGAGTTACGAGGTGTTTTTCAAAAATGTGCATTTTTAACAAATCACTGTAACTTTTTTGCAATGGAAAATTTTGCATTTCTATGAAAACATTTCCAAAGCACCTTTTTACGGAGAATTTAATGGCATAAGTATAATTTTTTTAAAATTAATAATTTAAGAGTTATCAACAGAAAAATTGATTTTTTATTTGGGACAAAGAATTTAAAATTACCTTTCCAAAAATATAGCACACTTGATATTTTGTTATATTCCCCTTCGAAATACAGAATTTTTAAAAGTTTGCCACTTTTAACTAGTAGGCTTTGGACACCTTATTGATGATATGCCCTTAATGGAACTCGAAAACATATTTTTCCAGCAAGAAGAGGCACCGCCTCAGAACGATGAAGTTATCAGCAAATTTTTGCAGCCAATTTCAAGAATAATTGAATAGCTAACCAAGATCCCAGCCGTTGTGAGCCGTTGTGATCACACCTGACTTAGTGTCCATGGATCTAATCCTATGGATATATTTGCGGAAGAATAAAGGTTCCTTATTCTTCCGTATAATCTAGACAAGAATTAGAAATACTTAGCAGTTATGAGAGGGATTTTCTCACCCCCACTGAGTTAAGGAATTCCGCGAGAATTGTTCAGAAACGGCCCCGTCTGTCCATAACAGAAGATGGTCGATATAACAGAAGACGGTCGAACACCTGTAGCTAAATCTCATGTCTTGGTTTGCTATTTATTTTTATTGTTATCAGATATAGTTTAAATGTGTTGATGTTGGTTAAATATATTTTAAATTGTTATAAAATTCTGCATCTCTCATAGCAAATATTATTTTCGTTTTAACTGATGCTCACAGCTAGAATTTTTTTGCATTACAGCCGGTGCCATTCAAAGCCTACTTAATTAAAGCGGGCGAATTTTTGTATACTCTATATCTCGAAGTTGAATCGAGCAAAATATCAAGTGTGTTATATTTTTGGAAAGGTAATTTTAAATTATTTTCAATAAATTAAAGATATACAGGGTGTCTCATATAAAAAATCAAATTTTCAGTTGATAATTCTAAAATTATTAATTTTAAAAAAATTATACTTAAACCATTAAATTCTACGTAAAAAGGTGCTTTGGAAATGTTTTCATAAAAATACAAAATTTTCCATAGCAAAAAAGTTACAGCGATTTATTAAAAATGCATATTTTTGAGAAACACCCCGTAACTCCGAAACAGTAACAGATATCGATATGCGGTTTTCACCATCATGTTTATGACAAAAATTGAGCTCCAGACACCGATATTAGTTTTTGTCCATCTCCTATAGAAAAGGGTGTTTCCATTTAAAAGCGTCGAATTTGGCCCACCCTGTACATTATTAATTATTTAAGCCTTTGTTTATTAAATCGAAACTAATAGTTATACCTTTCTTCTCAATAAATTTTAATTGAACATTTTTGATTTATGTAATTGAATAATACATGTATTATTCAATTAAAGCAATTTCCGTAGGTGTAAATATTCATGTCAGTATTATTTTCCAAAATGATTTCGTAAACTAGCTAAAATTATTTACCTTCTAAAGATAATGGAGTAACCAATAATTTTTTTTGAACTTGAGTTAAACAGGTTTGCACGGCTTGTTTTGTGGCTGTCACGTATTCCTTTTGAGTGACGCCTTCTGTATAAAGTGTTACAAGTCCTTCTTCAGTAGGAAATCCGTTTTCATTAACCTAAAACATCAAAAAATTCAAAAATATCCCTTTTTAATTTAAAAATCCTCTTTTTATTAAATATTACAATTTGGAAAATATTAATTATTTTGGAATTTGTTATGAAAATTTTTGTTTAATAAATAAATGAACAAAACATACAGGGTGTTCAAAAAATGCACGGCTAAATTTTAGGTGGTGCTTCCTTATTAAAAAAATATGAAAAAAGTTTCTACCGTCTGTTTTTCAAAAGGGCCCTATAACTTTTTTTATTTTTTCAGATAAAAAATCATATTTGGTATGTAAGTATACGACATACATCAGGATATATTGACGTATTCATTTACTTTCCTGTTTCACCGGAAATGACTACAACTTTTGAAATTTAAATGGTACCCTAGATATTTTCAGTAGCGGACTAAACTAAACCTGTCAGGGGCCAGGGGCAGCGAAGCTAAATGTGGCACCGGTCTGTTTAGATAATGATATACTTCTAATGCACATTTTGTAAAAATTGAATGACGTATGTATAATTGTTGACAAAATTCAAGTATTTATACAGGGTGTCCCAGGCTGAGCCTGCGTTAGAAGTTTCTAGAAAACTACAATATCTAGATACGAGGTTTTGTGCATATCATTGTTTCACAATGAGATCTATCGATTAAAAATATTTTCAATATGGCGGCACTTTCAGAAGTACCGGAAGTTGACAGCAACTTTCTTATTTTAAATGGGTGACCCCATTTTTTATTACATACTTAAATTCTCTGTAAAATTTTATGAATTTTGTTATTAAACACTCTATACCTAACGTTAACCGTTTTTGAGAAAAAAAATATTTATAATTTTTGGAGGAAAAAAACTGCTTGTCAAAAATATGTATATAGCCTAAACGTCAAATTTAGTGATTGCCACAGCCACTGTGCCATAAAGAGAAGACATGTGGCTATCTATGTAAAAAATTAAATTGTCCGAATGTCATATATATAATAATGGCCGCAGCTGTCATGGAATTGAGCGATTAAAAAATTATCATAAATCATTTTTTTTCAAATGGAAATCCACTTTTTTTATTTCACTCCTGAAAAGACTTTCGTTACTTTCGTTTTTAAAATTTGTTACTTTTTGACTATACATGTTCCTGTACCTAAAATAAATCGTTTTTAAGTTATTTAAGATTTAGCTTTAAAGCGTATATGTTTCTTGCTTTTAACCAGAAGCCTATGACAGTATATTATCGATCATCATTTCCAAGCTAACTTTGCGCTGTTTTTTTTTTCAATCTTACGGTATATTATTAATATATCAACTATTAGATATCACTAAAGAACGAAAATACGAGATATATTATTTATATAAATACACTTTTTAAACTTTTAAGCAGCTGTATAGTTATAATATAGGAAATTCAAATAATTCATTTTTTGACAGATGGAAATAAATTGTCTGACTGTTTGACACTCAATGTCAAAGGAAGCTAGATAAAATCAAGAAAAATAGGTATACGTTTTGAAACTAAATCTTAAATAACTTATAAACGATTTATTTTAGGTATAAGGAATATGTCTAGTTAAAACGTAACGAATTGGAAAACCCTTTCACTAGTGAAATAAAAAAAGAGCGGTGTACTTTTGAAAAAAAAAATTATGATAATTTTTTAATCGCTCCATTCCATGACAGCTACCCCATTGTTAACATTACTACTTTTTCAGTGAATCTTTAAATCTGTTGTTTTTTGTTAAGTTCGTTATTTAAACATATGTATGTAATACACTCATATTAACACTAATCATATTTTTACGTTTTTATTCATCATTTTCAATGCCCCCCCGGTTGCATCTTTGTAAAGGACTGTGAATTTTTTTCTTAAAAATGCCTCCAGGGAAATACCGCGACAAAATATCGCGATTTTGTAAGTCCTCCAAGATCCGAGGGGCCCCTTCGCTGTCTCAGACCCGTGACCCCCGTTATACTAAAAACTCGACTAAAGACTTCTTTCACTGCTCATCAGTAATGAAGCTAGAATACAAGTTATGCTGTGCACTGGTTGTAATTTAAAATGTTTATTCAGTAAAAATAAATATCTTTCTGAATTTCAGTCTGAAAATATCTCGGAAAATATATAAAAAAATAATAATTATTCGATATTTTAAACAAAGAAAATTACCCCTTGATTTAATTTCCTAAATAGAAAATGCCATTCACAATTACTGGGGCCTGCTAATTGATAATTAAGTAAATATCTGCTTCCATTTATGCTGTTTATAGTTGGCGTATACGTATGGTTTGCATACTCCACCTACAAACTGCTTTATAACTACTGAATACATATTGGTCTTGTTTGCCAGTTGAATAAAAAATTACTTATTAAGATTAGGAGGCCCCCTAAAAGACGGGGCCCGGGGCGGACCTCCCCTTCCGCCCCCCCCCTCCCTTAGTACGCCACTGGATATTTTTTAATGTATATGATAGAAAGATGAAGACATTCTGAATAGAATGATATATTTTATGTCAACTGTTGACATTTTCAATTCAAAAAATAGCATTTTATTATAGCAAGTTATTCATTAAATTTCAATCTAGAATGCCATGGCTGTGTTAAAACCACTAATATTTAATCAAGGAGCTTTGGAAAATTAGATTTGATCGTTTAATGTTTTTCGTGTTTTTTTCCTGATCAGTTAAAAGATATCCTATATTTTTAATCATAACTCAATTTTTTTCATATTTCAAATGAACGAGGGTGGCTCATTAGCATATTTGGAAAAAGCATTTTTTAAGAATAATTTGGTACAACATACTTGGTATTTTGAGCCAAATTGTCGTTACATTTATGGCCATAATACAGAATGAAATTTAAATTGCTATTCTTTTTAATTGTCAAAAAATGTCAAAAATTGACATATTAAATGTCATTCTATTCAGAATAGCATTTTCTATCAAATAAAGTAAATAATACCAATAGTCTAATATCCGGCTGCAGTATTATTATGCTCATCATATTTTTAATCAAAACCTAATTTTTACGTATATTTATGAATAGGGGAATACACTTTTAACAGTTTAATTAATAATAATAATAACTAATTTTGGAGATGACATTACAATCAAAAAGTTTTGAATGTAATAATGTAATAAAATAATAATAAAATAAATGTTATAATAATAAAAAAATGAATATGTAAAATTAAAGCTATTTTTATTCTGTGCATGAAGATTATATGAGTGCCTATCAAAAAGTTGCCGCAAATAGGAATTGCCACGGCGTTCCTAATACTTTATACAGACCCGAGAACAGTGCGTCGGGCATCTGTAGCTCCCATAATAAAAAACTTATAAATATATGAAGTGTTCATTTTTTAATTCTCCATCTAACCAAGGAATAATAACAGGGTATTTCATTTAAAAAAATCATCCCGATCCACTGACGCTTTTTTAGGAATTGCCACGGTGTTCCTAATACTTTATACAGACCCGAGAACAGTGCGTTGGGCATCTGTAGCTCCCATAATAAAAAACTTATAAATATATGAAGTGTTCATTTTTTAATTCTCCATCTAACCAAGGAATAATAACAGGGTATTTCATTTAAAAAAATTCACAGTCCTTTACAAAGATGCAACCGGGGGGGCATTGAAAATGATGAATAAAAACGTAAAAATATGATTAGTGTTAATATGAGTGTATTACATACATATGTTTAAATAACGAACTTAACAAAAAACAACAGATTTAAAGATTCACTGAAAAAGTAGTAATGTTAAAACATCAGTTATTATTTTTTTAATTTAGGAACGTATGTTCTAGGCATTTTGAAAACAATTTCAGTTATCCTAGAATAATAATAAGTTACTAGTAGAAAACGTAAATTTTACCTGTCTCATTTTTACTCCAACAGGTGTCTCACATTTACCCCCACACACGTCTCAATTTTACCCCAGAATAATTTTACGAGCGCTCGGGTCAGGTATCAAAGAAAGACTGTTGTATATGGTTCCAACGCATCACAAATCACAAGACAAACACAACAATATTCCGACTTTAAACGAGTCGCTCCGACAATTTAGGCTGCCGTGGCGGGAAAAGTTGGCGTCTTTTATTTGAAAGTTTTATGAGTGTTTTTTGTGATTTTTTTTTTGATTTTTTGTGCAAGGGAAAAAAGTACGAATACAAATAAACACCTAATAATATGCTGCATATAAGAAAATTCAGTGGCGTACATTTTTTTATCAATTATTTTTGATAAGGTGCCAAATATAATTAGAAATAACACTGACAGGTTTCAAGAAAGTCGGCTACAGGGTATTTAAGTTTCTTACAAAAAAGTGTTTCTTAAAATTTACGATTCTGTGTCTTTAAACCATCACCGAGCCTATGCTTATAGAAAATGTTCTCCAAATTTTTTGATCAGGAATCCCCTCCCCAAAATATACACTAACATATAAAATAGCAATGCATTTTTCGAACACTCCGTATAGAGCCAATGTGGAAAATATAAGATTTCTTTACAACCTGTTCTAACCTAACAATTTATGTGTCTTTATTCTTCTTTTTCTAATTTAACAAAACAATGGTGCATTATTCTAGTAAATAACTGTTGTGATAAAGATAATATTTTTTTCAAAGAGTAAAAATACGATCTAATTGCATGATAATACATTTTCCTTGAATAAGTAATTTGTTCTAAGCCTCTTAGTTTGTAGTTGTGTAAGAAAGTAATATACTTACAGCGTCCAATTTGCGGTATACACATTGAAGAAGGCACTGAAAAATAATAAAAAAAAATTAGAAGAGTTATTATATTAAAACTTTATTAAAATGTGATATATGAATAATATATTATATTGAATATATATTGTATATATTGTAGAACACTCTTAATATGAGATCATGATAAAGTTAAATCAATCGAGAATGCAAGTCCCTCAATATATTTTTGGATACCAGGGCCGGATTATCCTTGAGGTTTTATGGGCAATTGAAGGGTCTACAAAGACTAAAAGCTTAAGCAGCGCGAGGCCCACGGGATTTTAATATAAAGTGTAATAAATCAAACTATAAAAGTTGCTTAAAAACAGAGATTGTTGTGTTAATCCAGGAGTCTGGCCATACTTTCCATTTTCTAAACTAAACTAAAATAATATATTTCCTTGATGCCTTCTGACGAGGCATTCCTAAAAATTGAAGAAGGCTCTGACTAGTGCTACCATACTTAGCTATCCTCTTGGCAACGGAAATTTTATATTGGATACCAACGACGCTAGCAATGTTGGATTAGGCGCTGTTCTATCTCAAATCCAGGATTGTCGAGAAAAAGTAACTGGTTATTTTAGTAAGACCTTGTCAAATCCAGAAAGGAACTACTTACTGTGTGGCCAGACGAGAATTACTAGCAGTAGTTAAAGCAGTGGAACAGTTCTACAAGTATCTCTATGGAAGAAAGTTCTTGTTAAGAACAGACCATGCTGCATTGAAATGGCTGTTGCAGTTTAAGAATCCTGAAGGGCAGGTAGCTAGATGGATCGAACGATTACAAGAATTCGACTTTGACACAGAACTTCGAGCTGGGGCAATCCATCGAAATGCCGACGCACTTTCCAGGAGACTTGCGCTAAGGACTGTAAGCATTGTTCCCGAGCAGAAGAGAAAGAAGCGAAACTCCTAAGAACAACTGTGGTTAATGATACTTGGCAACCAGAAGATCTTGCAAACGACCAAATCAGTGACCTAGAATTACGCTTAGTGATTAACTGGAAAAACGCGGACCAAAGACCAACGTGGGAGGAAGTTTGCAGATATTCGCCGAACGTGAAAGTAATCCGTTATCTATGACCAAGGAATTCCACTGGGCCCAGTACGACGGCCCAGTGGAATTCCTTGGTCATAGATAACGGATTACTTCGCCGTGTGATCGAGAGACCGGAGGGACAAGAAGAGAGAAGGCGCGGTAAAAAAGGTGCGAGACAAAAGCGCGGTAAAGCCCCAATGCGCCAGTACAATGTAGGCAGTCCCTTTGAAGGAATAGCGATCGACATGGCATCCTTTCCCGGAGACGAACGATGGCAACAAATACATTGTGGTAGTAATGGATTACTTCAGCAAATGGGTCGAGGCCTACGCGTTGCCAAATCAAGAAGCGTCCACCATTGCTGATGTCCTTGTTAAAGAATGGATCTGCAGGTTTGGTGTTCCCATGGAGCTTCATTCAGATCAGGGAAGAAGCTTCGTGTCCAATCTGTTCCAAAGCGTCTGTGAAGTCCTTAACATCCGCAAGACCAGGACGACGGCCCTACATCCACAATCCGACGGGATGGTTGACCGCATGAATAGAAGCATCAACCGTTATTTGGCCAAAGTAGTCTCTGACCACCAAAGAGACTGGGACAAATTCCTTCACCTGTTCCTGTTGGCCTATCGTTCATCCGTCCAAGAATCTACAGGGCAAACTCCAGCCAGCATCGCTATGGGACGGGAAGTGCGCCTACCCTGTCATCTGAAATTTCGTTGCCGACCGGGAGAAGAAGTCGCCAGAGAAGATTATGTCCACACACTACGACAAAGGATGGACGACATCCATCAGCGAGTCCGCCTAAATATTCAAAGTGCTATTGACCGAATGAAAGAACACTACGACATTCAAGCTGAGCATGGAAGATACCAACCAGGGAAGTTGGTGTGGCTATACAACCCGCAGAGACGTCGTGGGTTATCTCCGAAGCTACAATCCTCGTGGGAAGGGCCATACGAAGGCATGGATAGGATTAATGACGTCGTATACCAAAATATACTTTTGGCAAATATATTTGCCAAAAGGAAAACCGAGGGTAGTCCATTTCAACCGTTTGAGCCCCTACCCAGGCGAAATAGAAGATCGTGCTGGGACCCTGAGAACCTGCAGCTTTGATCCCCTTGATTCGGAGATGTCCTATGACGACTTCATGGCCCGATACAACAACAGAAGGCTCGCTATGGTGTGACCAAAGAAGAACAACGAAACCTCTTTTCCGTGCCTCCTGATTATTCGCTCGCTCACTGTGTAGCCCGAGATTTGCGAAGGTCCAGAGGAATCGCTGCGACGTTCACTGAGAAGTTTGGGCGTGTCGGAGAACTACGCCGACAGGATCCAGAGGTTGGCAGCATCTTGAGGCTGACAGACAATGCGCATGGCCAAGCAAGACACATCTTCTACCTAGTTACCAAGGAATGGTCCCCGAGTAAGCCGACTTATCTCAATCTATGAAAGACCCTGATTGAACTGAGAGAAGCCCTGCTAAACAACAACATTACACGATTAGCTATTCCGAAGCTGGCGTGTGGACTCGATGGTTTGAATTGGCGTACAATCCGAAACATGATTGAAGTCTTGTTTAGATTTACGGGAATCGAGATCCTCGTTTGCTGCTACAACCCAAAGCTGAGATCGGGAGAGAAAACTGTAGACTGCTATTTCTACCAGACTTCTCAATGTACCAGGGGCCAGCTTTGCAAATACCTTCATTCACCGTGTTCATCTCGAGATGAGCATGTACCTAATAAGGGGGCAGTGTTGCGGACCCGTGTGGACTCGACCTAACCTAACTATATGTCCCGCCCTCAGATGACCTTAACATCGCATTAAAGAATAGACACCGTAATGATTCAAATCAAATCAAATCAAATCAAATCAAATCAAATCAAATCAAATCAAATCAAATCCAAATCAAATCAAATCAAATCAAATCAAATCAAATCAAATCAAATCAAATCAAATCAAATCAAATCAAATCAAATCAAATCAAATCAAAATATTTATTTATCAGTATTAAATGTTTATATATTTTAATATACAAATGTAATATATATAAATACCGACAAAAAAAATTCATTCGAACGTTCGAGAAGAATCGAGTTCCACTGGAATAGAGTAGTACATACGAGAACATTCGAAACCTTCTCTATGCTCCTAACGATCTATGGACTATTCTAGAGCTCTTTAGCTGTGGGTATAAAAGCTGGCGGCTGGAGCCTGAAAGGACAGATATAAATAGACGAGTACAGTTGACACGCTAAATTCAAAATAAATTCTTTCTAGATAAATAGTTGTAAATCGTTTATAAATAGTTCTTTAAGTCTTTTATCATTATTGTTTTTGTTAATTAGTGTTAAATAAATTGTGTTTAAATAAATTGTGACTTTCTATCCACACGGAACCGACGAAAAACGTAACAATAGTAAATGTTCAAAGTGATCACCATTCATTTCAATGCAGACATCTAATCTTCTCCACGATCTGCGTACCCTGTGGAATACCCTTGGTGTTGTCCGAATTTGATTGGAACAGTCAATAATGCGTCGTAGTTGCTCTTCAGTATTAATCGGCACTGAGTAAACCAATTTTTTTTAAAACCAAAAAAGTTTATTTCGTTTTTAAAGCAATAAGATGTTTTAAATATCATGAAATTTATGATTTTCCAATTAATTATTTAATAACTACTTGGTTACTTTTGAACCGCCATAACTTTCATAAGTTTATATTGATTAATCAGTTAGCAATCCATCAGAGCAAACTCTTTGCCTTCAATTTTCTCGAAAACCATCGCTCTGGGCGATGTGCAACAAAAATACATTTTTGTAGGAAAAAGTATGTAGTTTTCAAAAAATAAACCCACGTTGCAAAAAAAATAACCTCAAAAAAGTTATTCGCGAAACAACCCCCTATCCTTGCAAAAACTACCCTTTCCGCTTTTCCAAATAATTTTTTACTATCACCATTTGATTTAGGGTCAACATTTATGGCAGAGGATTTTTTTTCGAAATTTTACCTCGTTTTTTAAGCCTACAATTTCAAAACAACCGTTTTTTTTTAAATTCACCCTTTCAGTGCCCGTAACTCCCTTAATATGCATTTTCCACCCTATACTTATAGGAACTTTTTTTATTATTTTTAGGGGTACTATCACCCCCCGATTTTTTTACACCATTTCAATGACACCCTGTATATTCTATATTCGGGGTACAAGCATTGGTACCTCAGAAACCGTAACAGATACGAACATGATTAAATTGGGGCAAATTTGCGCCTTGGGATGGTTTGGTTTGGTTTGTTTTATCCCCCAACTGTAATGAATATATTTTGTTTGTATTGTTGCTGTAATAATAAGAGCCTTGTCATTTTTAATAAAATCCCAAAATTCTCATATGCGATATATTAAAATTAAATGGCATTTGAAGTTCCGTTTTAATAAGCTTAACTGAACATCTATTTCTAACATCTGTCTACTTAAACATCATACGTGAAAATATATAAATAACAACCTTAAACAATGAAGGCATATAATTTATTCTAGTTTTAAAAATACTTTATTTTTTTATTTAAAATTTTTGTATCCCTTTTGTCATATTTCCTTTACGCAAGTTTTTATTATCGAATATTCATTAAACAGTATCTACTTCTTTTAATTCTAAAATTTCTTAGATTTTAATCAATTTAAGAAATTAATAAACATGTATTTTTAATAATAAACTTTACAATTTTATTGTTTAGTAAAAACGTGGCTATTAAACAAATACAATTCGGGACATTAAGGCTTTGCGTGTGGACGCGGGACTTTTGGATCAAAATCGGGACGGGTGGCAACTCTGTTCTTGAGTACCAACGATATGCTACACATAATATTTTTATTTTGTTTCGGTTCTTTTTTACTTAAACTAATTTTACGTCTTTTACGTTTATATGAAATTGAAAGATCAATCGTAAACAATATTTAGAAATACCGATTTAAAAG